GCTCGGGACCCTGGAGGGGCAGCATGGTGCAGGCTCTGCGCCGCGGCAGGGAAAGACTGTCTTTTTTTTTTACTTGTTTGTTTTGAGTACCTTTGCCTTCAGGCGAGGGGGTCCTGGATGTTGCGAAGGGGCTTAAAAATTCCTCCTAGGAGCCCCGAGCTGAAGGAGTGGAAGGAGAGGAAGTCAGGGTGGTTAATCGGGGGAGATTTAAAATTAAAGAGAAAAACGGGAAAAAAAAGACAAAAATGTGCATGATCTTTACATCCTACGGGCTATTTAGCTCTTTCTTTCTACTTGTTTTTGCTCAGGTGCCTGGGATGGCTGATGGGGGACAGCTCCCCTGCCTTGTCGGTCTGGCTTCGCCGCCGACCCCGGGCCCACTTTTCCCGGGAAGGCTGCTGTGCTCCCTAAAGCGGGGGGCTGCCTGCTGTCCTGTTCGCCTTGCTGCTGCTGGGAGGCGAAGGGTCTCCGGGTGGGGGTCCTGCCTCCCCCGTCAGCTCTACTGGATTCATCGCAGGTGAGGCCCGCGGTTTTCCCGGCAGAGCAGGGTGTCGGAGCACCGCCAGGATACCCGCATTTCGCACCTTGCCACCCCTCCATCCTCCCCGCCCTCCGCCCAGAGGGAGTCTGCAGAGCCCCAGTCCGGGCGCGACTGCGGCGGGAGCTGCGACACACGGGCCGGGGCGGGGAGAGAGAGCACCGGGGAGCTGCCGTGGGGGCAGAGCCGCGCCGCAAATATGCGGCCGATCGAAGTGTGCCGGCGTTTGCTCCTCGCGATGTTTGCCCCATGAATCTCTGAATAGTTTTTTACTACAGGGTGGGTCTTTCCTGCCGCTGAGAAAAATCGCCTTTATTAAAAAAAACCCACAAAACCCCAAAAACCAAACCTCTTTCCACTACGTTAGGATTTAACCACAACATCCACAAAAACTGCCTTATGAAAACCAGACTTTTCTATGAAAAGACTCTTCTGGCAGCAATTAGTCTGCCTTTCTTGAACGAAATTCTTTATAATGTCATTCAGCGGAAAAAAAATAATCCCAGGACAATTTTGATTACACAGTTTAAAAAAATAATAAAATTAGCATATTCGGGTTTGCCCTTCAAAGAAAAAAAAAGTTTACATTTCCCATTGATCGAAAAAAAAAAAAAAACTCGCTGAGATTTTGCGAGGGTGGGCTTTCACGGGAAATAGAGTAGTTCAGTTCCTGTGTGACGGGAGTAGAGGGCATTAACACACACACACTCGTTACCGACTTCTTTCAGGGGCTTTGCCTCAGCCTCTCAGCCCCACCTCGGCTGCGGAACGCCAGGCAGGAGTGCCGCTGCTTCCAGTGGGAGGCTCGTGTCTGTCCCCACGCAGCTGCGCCCGCCCCTCGGCGGGCAGCGCTCGGTTGGAAGTCGCGTGTCTGCCTGGCGCGCAGGGAGAGGCGCATCCCTTTCTTCCACACGCCTCCCCGGGAGCTGGCTGTCCTCGCGTGGGTCCCGGTCCCCAGCAGGGCAGAGGGGCTCACCCCAGCTACTGGGCGGCACTCGGCTCGCTCTCTGGCTGCCGCCCCTTGCCCACCGGAGGAGGATGAGGAAGGACGGGGAAGGGGGGAGGGGTAAAAGAATCTGGCCCCAGGAGGCGGGGGAGGGTTGGGGGTAGCTGCCTACCTGGAAGTCTGTCGCAGATGCTTGGGCAAAGCCAGTCCCTCTGCCTCATCCGCAGGTTTTTGCTACTTCCCCCCCCTCCCTCTTTCTCCGTGCTGTGGTGAAAGGTTGCATGTTTCAGCTCAGAGATTCAAACGTTGAACTGCTAAACCAGAGTAGGAAAGGAGAGGAGTGAGAAAAAAAAAAAAGGCGTGTTTATATTTCAGGTATTTTAAAAGGTCGGCTTTAATTAGGTTAAATACAAGTATTATTGGCCCAGAAGCACATACTGCAATAAGCTCGTTACAAGCCTAACTGCGAAACAAAACAACAACAAAAAATTAAAAAAAAACCCCAACCCAACCCAAACCAAAAAAAACCCCAAAACCCCCAAACAAACAAACAAACAAAAAACAAACAACAACAAAAAAAGGGATAAGTGCGTGTGGAGAGAGAAGCCGTACTCTTTCAGCACGACTCACCTCCTGCAGTACGTGCGTGGGGATGCGCGGCACCCCACGCCGTGGTTACCGCACATCCCCACGCGGGACGGCCAGGGAAGGCTGCGCTGTGCGCATCCCTCCCCACCCCGGCCTCCATCCTTTTGGAATGAATTTTGCATTTCACCGCCGCGCTTGGCCGGAGTGGGGGGCTGCTTTTACAGCCGAGCGAGGTGTGTGGGTGGCTGCGCGTGAATCTACTCTGAACTTGCCTTGGAGCCCGGTCCCTCTCGACCCTCCAAAATAGCTCTTCTCCCCAGCTGGTCCTTCTCTCTCAACCCTTTGGCAACACAACTTGAGGGGGAAGGGGGAACCATTTGCCCTGAATCACAAATTTTCATGGCTTGGAAAGAAAAAGGTAACCCTCATGTCTAGCTCAATTAATAAACATGGTGATTTCACACCCAAAAGGAGGACATTATTTCACGGGAGCACTATCAGCTCCATCACAAAGGGTCACAGCGCAGCTGTGGCGAGCCCGGGGTTATTATGCAGCCTGATGATAGGATCCCGCTTGCCATCCCGGCTCCTTCCTCGGGGCGACCAATAGCCCCCGGCAGGGCTTGTGCCACCTCATGATAAAGGACTTACCCGATGCGTGAGGAAATGGAGCAGCTTTCAGATGAGAGGTAATCAGCTTGCAGGCGCAGCCCCAGCCCCTCGCTTCCCCCCAGCCCGTCTCCTGCCTTTCCATTTAACTTTTTTTCTTCACCCTCCTCCCCCCAGACAACAACAGCAAGGAGTTATTATTCATTTAAACGCAAACCTGAAGATCCCTCTCACCTTCTCCGGCCCCCTGCGGGGAGCAGAGGCAGGAGACCCCCGGTCCCCCCTCCCGGCCAGCCCTCATGGCTGCCAGTGGCAGGAGGAGCTGCCTCCCCGCAAGGAGGGACAGTTGTGGCTGATGGATTTCTGGTGTCAGGAATTGGGTCCAGAAGCTGTGAGGCAACATATTAACTGCGATCCCATAATCTCTTAATCACATTACATTTTAAGTGAGCATGTGTAATTTCACCCATCAATGATTTATTTAAGCAAGGGAGCACAATTACTTGTCTCGCACACAAGCGCTGGCTGGGGGAGCATTGTTTGCCAGAAATAAAATCTGCAGTTTCAGGGACTATCTGTTTCTCCATGCTGAGAAACCCCAGACCCCTCTTCTGAGGACAGGAGTTAGGCGGCTGATCCTTCTACCCAGCCAAGGCGAGGGCGAGGTTTCCTACCCTTTCTATTCATCCCCTTTCCAGAATCAGCCCGGCAGCATGATCTGACTCTGGTGAGGTGAGAAGTGCCTTCAGCTGCCCGGTCCTTCCCCGGTGCTGCCCGCAAGCTCTTGCTCGGGGACCGTGCTGGAGAAGTCAGGGGGATGTTTGCTGGTGTGGGGGGGATCTGACCCTTTTGCACCGTTTTGACTAAAGCAGGTATAATTTATCGAGCCGGTGAGCCGATCTTATACGGGGTCACTCTTCCCAAATCTTATATTAACGAGGAGGAAAAACAGAGTAACGTTTCCTGGCACGATGCTGAACACTAGTCTGGGCATTTGACTCCTCTGGCTCTGGCCTGGACACCTCCGGCGCTGTGAAAGTCGAAGACCGCCCCGCATTTCGGCACGCCAGTCCCCTCCGCCCTGGCTGCCCTCCTACACCGGGCCTATCCTTTAAAGTTGCCCCGTTTCAGCAGGAGGTTAGCATTTGCCATCCTCTCTTCTTTTCGACCCGAGGGCCAAACTTGCCACCGAACCCGCTTTCCCGGCTGCGGGGCGACATCCTCGCCACCTCCTGCCCGGGGACGGCAGCCGCCGGTGGGCAGACGTCCCTCTGCCCGCGGAGAGGGTGGGCGGGTCCGCAGACGACCCCACCGGCTCCCCCAGACCGCCCCCTGGCTCCACGGCCCGCCGTGCAGCTTGGCCCCAGCACCAGGCTGGAAACACCTCCACAGCTTTATTGTTATTATCGTTATTATTGGTATTTCTATCACCCCCTGACAGATTGCTCTGTGATGGGCGGCCGAACCCCGTGCCCGCTGCGAGGAGGAAAAGCCACCCGAGAAACGCGTGGGGCTGCCCGGGAGCCGATGTCTTCCTCAAAAGGGGCTGGCGTTCTACACGTGCCGGTATCTTTACTAAATACTCGACGGAAGAAGGTGTCCGAAAGGGAAAATCTCGGCTAAAGAGAGAGAAAGAGACCTTCTCCTCTTTCAGTGGCTTTAATTTTTTTTTTTATTTATTTTATTGTGCTGCCTTACTCAGGCATTTGGCAGATTTAACGCTGCAAAGGAAACAAAGAAAAAGAAGTAATTACATTTTTGGAAAACAAACAATAATTACACGATACAATCGGTATAACAGTAAGTGAAACACAGCAGCGGGAGTTAAAAACAATATTCTATCCATGGAGATGGGCTCCGCCGCTGACTCAGCGGTTTTGAATACTCCAAATTATCCTTACATCGGATTTCTGTAGCGCAGTTCAGCTGCAGTCTATTGGCTTTTAAATTAAAACATATCTCGCTGATTAGGCACGAGTAGCGTCTTAAAACAAACAAACAAACAACCAAACACAAAACAAGGAAGCAGGTTCTCGAGGTAAAAATTTTCTGGTGGATCAGGAATACTTCATAAGCCCCGTTTCCCCATCTGTATATCAAGCGGAGGAGCAGCGCTTGGAGGGGCAGCCCCTGCCTCTCGGTTCCCGATGCCCGGGGCGGGGGCGGGAAGAGAGCAGGAGCGACTCCCTCGCATCTGAACTGCTGCAGCACCTGTCACCTGGCGAAGTTGTGACTTCACATGCCCCGCGGCTGTGACTTCACGTTGGGGCGCATTATTCCATCACTGAGCCGTGTTGACATAAACATTCCCTCCCCCCGCGACGTTCTACTCCCCCTCCCCCGTTTGCCCGACTTTCACACGAGTATTTGGTATGATCTCTAAGGCAGCAGAAAAGTTGTGCACGTGTATTTATTTTTTTCTAACTAACATTTTTTTTCTATTATTTTTATTTCCAACTGACTCAGTTTTATTTTAATCGAGAGCCCCTAGGACTAGTTGTAATGATATGAATGGTTAAAGTGGGAAGAGCTCAAGGCTCGAGAATACTCTCTCCTCGGAAGAAAATACCAGACATCCCCGAGAAACAGCCGTGCAGAGCGTAGGTCTTATGTAAACGGAAAGAAATCATAGGCTGTCGGTGTAATGTGAAGCATACGTGAAATCTAGCATTTGTTCAATCAGACCCTCGTTCTGCTTCCCATTAGCTGCCAAATCAAAAAGGGGGGGGGGAAGAAGGAAAAAAAAAAGGAAGAGAGAAGAGAAGAGAAAAAAAAGCCCTGATTGCAGCAAAATTCTGATTCCCACCTCTAAAACTTGTGTATCCCAGTGAAAAGTTTGGAGCTGTGCTGCAGCTCGGTTCTGGTACTGCCCTCAGGACTCCCAAATTCCCAGGCAACGGCCACACAAGCGATGATGACAACAGCAGCAACTACGAGGCTCCTCGCCGCCTGCTCTATTTGAAAGCAAACCCGCCTATTTTTCGTCAGGCAACTGCAGACAGAAGTGGCAACTAAAGCTTTAAACCCTTTGGAAATTCCTTTCTGATTTAAGAGAGCCAGGGGGCTTTCGTCCTCTCCCTGCCGTTAGTTGCGAGGAAGGGCAACAAAAGAGGTAAAATGCCTTCTCCAACTAACTGGCTCAGCGTTTCATATGCATCAAAGGGAAAGCAAGAGCTAATCCGAAAATGACCACTTTAATGTACACGAACCCATGGCTACAGCAGTTGAACCGAGGGGGATTTTGAACTCTCCACCACAACAAAACCCTACACTTAATGTCATAATAACAGATATTAAACAAAGGGGAATGAAAGGATCTCACGCTGGGTTTTCTGCATTCTTGAGTCTAATTAAAAATATACAGAAAAAAGACATAGTTTGGGTCAAAATGGCATGAGAGCCGCCTTGTGCCAGTGAAGAGGCTGCAATTATCAGCTTAGAGGCCAGACCCTAGAGATCTTATTCTCTCTTCAGCTCCACGGGAGCAGAAAGCCAGTGCAGGGGTGAGGGGACAGATGCACCCGACCAGGGCTGGGAGGGCTTGGAGAAGAGGGCTGAGGGATACCTATCCTCTCCTTTCTCCTTTCCCCAGACTGCAAAGTGGAACTAAAACAAATACAGCAGAGCCCAGCAAGACTTTTTTTTTTTTTCTTTTTTTTTTTGAGGCCACTTTGACAGCTCTTCCATTCAAATGGAGCCGGGGTGTTTACTTAGTGTCAGGTTGTATGACTCTGGCTTCTGCCTTTGGGGCCGGTGCCCCCAGCTGAGAGGGGAATCCTGTGGCGAGCAACAAGTGCCCCGCATGACAATACCTTCCTGGGGAGAAAATACCTCTCCTAGAAGGAACCTTCTCCAAAACTATAGGCCAGAAGCTGGAGCCAGACAAATTCAAATGCAAGATAAGGCACAGGCAAGAGATTAACCACTTGAATAAGCTACTAGGAGCACCAGCAGTCCCATTTGTCCCTGTATTTTGGCAGAGATGTGGATGTCCACACTGGTAATGTGACTGAGTCTAATCCGAGTGATTGGGCTCAATATAGAGCACAACATGCAGTATGAGAGAGGTCTGACGAAACCCTTGAAGCTATGACTAATAAATGACTTCAAGACTTTGTGATTTGGTCCCTTATAAATATCCATGGTGCTATTTTGCTGGTATTGGTGTTTGACTGGTGTTTCTTGTATATAGCAGTAGGCAAACTGTCTTTTCCTTTACTCAAATGAAAGCTAACCTCTTTTACTCCTTGTTTATTTTGTTTCCAGAGGAGCCAGACTTTGCCAGGTGTCAGGAAGATGAGTCTTTATTGAAGAGTAACCAGCGTTGCCACTCTCCATAGGCCCTTTACCACCTTTGAAGGAGACTTTCTTGGTGCCTGCAAGAATCTCGGGCTGCACCCAAGGTATTCCCATCCACCAGTATGACAAGCAATGGGCAAGGGTTCCTTCAGCCAACACAGTTGAGATCTATGGATGGTACTCCCACCCCAGAGAACGGACATAATTGTGGTGGAAGTCAAAACAGAGAGAGAGGGGAGCAGTGCTTCTCTCATCCCATGGCAGCCACAGGGAGCAAAGTACACCTGAGCTCAGCATCCCATTTTTCCCTCCTTAGCTGGTCAAATGGACCAATTCAGAGTGACTCAAGGTGTTGGATTCGACGTATAAAGACATAGCACAGAGCAAGCAGCCCTGACTCTTGCTGCCAGCAAGACATGGGTGACCTGATGGATCTTTCTTTCTTAGGCTCTGTCTGTGCTTTGTCCTCAGAGGCTTCAGCTGCCCAGGCCACCCTGCCTTAAAGTTTGTCTCACATAGAGAAGGGTCTTCCCATCTTGCCTGGTGAGACCTTCCTAACCTGAGGGCCTTTGCAAGAGGCCCAGGAAACGTTCCCCATAATTGCAGGGTACTCAGCTCAGGACTGCATGTGCAGTGCAATTATCGTTTACCAACATGGTGACTCCTACTAACCCTGCAGCACAGCTGCCTCGCTGGAGCTAAAGATTAATAGTTGCCCGTAAATCCAAGAGGTCTTCTCCAGGCAACATCAGGAACACTTCTGAGGCTGATTGTATGCTGATTTTTTTGAGGAAAAGCTGTAAAACAGAGGTTTCTACTAACATCACTTCTCAGCCTGTAAAATTGCATAGGGGGGAGAAGAATATTTGGTATTTGAGGGTTAGAGCTGAGGCTTTTCGCCTCCTGTTTTCTTTATGGCTTTTGAGTGACACCTATGAAGTGGTGTTTGAAACATTTATGTGCTGTTTTCAACAAACACCTGGAGAGTGATCCTACTACACTTGCAGGGAGTACTGGCTGGACAGGAGAGGGAGGGATGCTGCAGCTCATTTTCCCACTGGCAGGTGTAGGTTTGCACCACTTATACCCATAGTGGTGTTTGTCTAGTGCACCCCTGGGATCTGAACCACGATATTTGGCTTTGCAGGGGTGCTCTGCACAGACTCCCTGGAATGAACACTGCTCTGCATCCCTTCAGGATGTGCAGGTTCCTGCACTGGGCTGATTGAAGATATGCTATCAGGTCTGGCAAGGTGTCCTGGTTTTGGCCAAGACAGGGTTCATTTTTTGCAGTAACTGTGAGGGGGCATGGCTAAGGCCTGGATGTTACGCTGTGTCACCTCACATCATTGCTGAGGGCAGGGGGAAAGGGACTCCCTCTCTCTTTTGGGGAGAAGTGGGATAATGGCTTCCTTCTGGTCAAGTAAACATGGTGGACTGAGCAGTCTGGTATTGTTTACTGTTGGGGGGGCTTTCTGTGTAAATTCTTTCTTTTCTTACACTTTTTGTTATTAATATGGTTGCTCTTACTGTTTGTTTTCTTATCTCATTGCTGTTTCCAGTAAATTGTTCTTATCTCAACCCATGATCTTTAGCTTTTGTGCCTCCAGTTGGAGGGGAGGGAGGGGAAGCAGAGCATGGTTTTAGCCAGAGCACTAAATTGAAGAATACCATTCCTAAACCACAACATAAGGGAAAAGCTGTACTTCAGACAGCCTGCAAATATCCATGTGTTCTGAGGCAGCCCTGATGCCGGGATGATTTTCTTTGTAGGTAGGTTGCTCAAGAGATTTAGGAATTGAGCAGGAGACTATGAGCATGCCCACAGTGCTCTACCTGGGTTCTAAAGACAGGCTTTGAGTGAAGCTCACAGTCCAAACAACTACTTTTGGAGGAGCTGAGGTGTGTTTCCTTAGTCCCTTTTGTGTGAGGCACAGTGTAGTGGTGTGAGTGCAGTTCTCATCAGGATGAGTACATTAAAAATAGCAACAGACAGATGGATTTGAAAATAAGAGCAATTTAGTGCAACAGCAGCAGCTGAGATTGAGCAGCTATTCCTTGAAAGAGTAACTTAAGTAACTACCCTGTTGTAAACCAGTTGGACTCTCGAGAAAAGAACAACAGGGGAAATTTTACTCTAACAATAAAATTATCATCATCATCATCACCTTAAAGGAAATGGTAAGTGAGAGCTGGAAGGAGCTTGACCATCTTTCCCAGGCTAATAGAATAATCTGGTTAATTTTGCACATATCTGAATAACACTGTGTCTAATTGTCATGCTGGTTGCAGTTCCACTGCCAGTATAATTTTGAAGTATTTTACTGTGTTTTTTGTAAAAAATTGCCCTCATGTGAATCTTGGCTTATGCATTACTCACTGGGAAGTGTAAATTTTCTTAACCAACACTGTAGACTGTAATTAGCCAAGCCATGAGAATAAATGCTGACAACATTTAGGGCCCAAACTTGTCAACTTTTCATTTTTATTAGTGTGAACACTCAAGACCTTCTGCACGGACACATTTTTAGTGGGGCTGCTCATTCACCTCTTGGCCAGTGTGATGGCTTAGCGTGTGTGCTGGGCTGAGGATGTAGGTGATCTACATCTTGGTGGGGAGACTGGGAACCAGATTGGGACCTGGGAGACTTACACTGTTTTCTGTTACTTCTGTCATAGGGAATAGGTAGGAGGAAGTGGGATCATTACACAGTACACAAGTACTATTCTTTTGTTGTCTGTGTGAGGAATATAATAGATTATAACTAATTAGCACAGGCTCCTGTACTAAGATTGTTCTCAACACATAAGGCTGGCTGCTGTGGATTAAGCTGCAAAATATAATTTACAAGATGTTGACACCTGAGATTAATGAAATGTTCTTCACATTTTTCCAGTATAGAGGTTCTGGGATTACATTTACTGGGCTGTGTCTAGTTCTTCTGTACTGAGAGCAATGGGAAACAGCTAGGTGTCTCTCTGCACTTTCAGGTACTTCAGTTCTTTAAAAATCTGATCCCTCTGTGCCTTGTGTCTACGTCCTTATCTTAAGATCAGCCTAACTGACTTGGAAGCAGGTGAAAATTTTACTAAAAATACTTGCTGGCCTGTTTCTAAGAATAAATTAGAAAATAAAGACAAAAAGAGTACTTTAGGTCTGTGCCTTTCAAGTTTACATTTGTCAGGGGAGTATCTAATAAAGCCATATGGAAAACTGGATTCTGCAGATGATTGATGGGACAGTGTGCACCCACTGAGTTCAGCAGGACTTGTCACTTTAGGAAAGCCACTCCTAAGCCTTGGTATTTGGAGATCTGGACAAAGAGGTTGAGCTGCCATGGCACTTGTGTCGTCCCTCACACCCTTACTGATAGATCCTTCTCTTTCTGTTTTATGGATAAAATTAATGAGAAGGAAAAATTCTCAAGGAAAGGCAGCAAAGCCCACAACCATGCACATAAATGATGCCAAGGTTTGAACCCAAAGTGATGGGAAAGTCACATTTTAAGCTGTGCCTGTGTCCTGGATTCACCCTGTTGAGCGTGAAAGTAGTACTGTCACTTCTGATTCCCTCTTCGCTGTTGCCCAGGCAGTGTCCAGGGTGGGAACAGTTGCATGCATCCACTGCTGCATTTCTTCCATGGCTGTGTCACATTTCTCTGTCTGCTCCTCAAAGGAGTCGTTTGCCTCTAACTTGATGGCCTCCCCCAGACCCAGTCTCTGATATTCAACAAGAATCTTGCTGGCAGAATGCAAACTGGCAGCCTTTTCTGTAGGGTCCTCTGAGGGACAGACAGACCTGTGGCTCCCCAACCGTTGCCCTTCGTCCTGCCCCTAAGTGCCTCCTGTGAACTTCCAGGAAAGGACTCTGAACACAGCTGAGCAGTGTGATATGTCTTGGCATTCCTGCCTAGGCCTCTTCAAAATGTGCTTCCCCTTGTTCATAGCAATCAGGCCATTTCTGATGATGGTTCAGCAATGCCTTCCAGGCAAGTGAGGGCATGATCAGTCCTTCTTCTTCAAATTTTGTTCCAAGTGAGTCAGAGAAGTCATCTAGGCAAGGAGAGGCTCTGCAAGTCAGGGGAGAGCAATGGTTTGCAGTGTTCACATGCCTCTCCCAGCTGTGCTTGGAAAGAGAAAATTGCCCCTGGAGCCATTGACCTGGGAGCCTGCTGGGGTGCTGGGGGGTATCCTAGCTTGTGGAGCATAATGTGGCCAAGCTCTGTAATTGCTTCTGTTTCCTTTCCACTATGTCTCCCAGGAAATTAGCTAGATGGACCCACTATCAAGGGGGTCTTGCTACCAGGAAACTTTGCCACTTTTTGGTTTTACCTAAAACTAATTGAGAATGGGTGCTATCTATATCTCTATGTGTTGGTCTAGTGTTATATTTCAGAGTCCCTGGCTCTAGGACTTTGATATCTTGGGTCTAGGAGATTGCTGATGTTAGTCCTTTAGTGAGAGGGGAATTGAAGCACCAAGTTGTTAAAGGAGTTATTCAAGGCCAAACATCCCACCTCACACAGATCTGGAAAGAAATGCAAGCCTCTTGCCTTTCAAATTCTTGCATAAATAATTTTTTTCTGTTTCCCGCTGTAGAGTGGTATAGGGTTTCCAGTGCACTGGAGGAAATAAGCATGGTGTAGACATACAGAATAAAAGGAAGATATGAAAGAGTTTGCACTAGGGTGTGACTTTTCCGGAAACAAACTACAAGCCCCTTGTAATTGGTTTTTCAGATTACTGGGTGCAAAGGAGGATTTGTTCTGTATCCATGAGTAGAAACATGAATTAAATTTGCTTTAACTAAATCCCACTAACATGTCAGTCTTGTGTGCTCGTATTCTTGATATCAGGATGTAGATTATAGATATAAACTCAAGACATGCAGAAGTTAAATATGAGGATGTTGCAAATGCAAAAATGTAAGAATAGAGGTTTCCCATTCAACTTTTAATTCCTGCATGATGTGTGAATTTCTAGTGCCTAAATAGTGGTGGTGGGTTTTTCCTTCACTCTGTTTGCCTTTCCAAGATGCAATTTAAATGAAATTGTAAAATCTCCTGTGTTTTATCCCCAGTTCATCCAGTAGCAAGAGAATGTAAGAACATGCATAGAAAGAGGTGCCACCTGCAAGGCTTGCTAACAGAAGCGTTTAAGCCCTGGTGGTCAGTGCTGCAGGAGGCACGGCTCCAGCCTTGTGTCAGTGCCAGTGCTGCCTCTGCAAGCACCGCAGGCTAGGAGCCTCCTGCACGTCCAAGTGTTGCTCCCTCTGGGAAGAGCTGGTGTGGCATTCAGCAGCCTCAGCCCCACTGTGCAAGCCATGGATCAGGTTGTCTCTGATGGTTTTCTACCTCTCTGTATCTCTCAAAGAGACTCCTTGCAGAGCATGTGAAACCCTCAATTTTTGCAGCCTGGGCTGACTCTTCCTGTCTGCAGCAGCCACCACCATTGTTCCCCAGCCCTGTCTGCTGCCTGAGCTACAGTAAATGCTCTACTAGCACCAGGATAAATTGAAACACCCACACAACCCAGGAGAAAGTCTGTATTTAGCATCTTCTCTGTTGTAGTAGGCAGCTCTGTCTTGCCTCCACTCTGTCCTGCTGACAGGGTGATATCCCCTCGGATCTGGCACAAGAGCCCAGGGCTGGTGCCAAACCTGGCTGTAACTACAAGCCTGGCACCGCAAGTGAGCACAGTGAGGATCAAGAGGAAAAAACCCCTGAGAGTTAACTCCACAACATCATCATAAAAAGTATACATGTACAAGGGGCTAGCAGTGAGTTTGTATGTTCTATGGTGGGAACAAAGCTCTTAGTGAATAATGTACTGTAAATTCTGAGTAAGACATTAAAATGTCAGTAAAACCAGTGCAATAAGATTAACTCTGGCAGCTCCAGCTTGTGACCAAGCTATTTTTAATATTATCAAACCCGTTGTTCCCCTCCCATGTACGGGCATACTGTGTTTTGCTCTTTCGAGTCAGAACACGCTTTCATGAATTTTTTTCTCTTCTGCTTCCTTTTTTTTTTTGATATCTCTATACTCTCCCCTGTCCTCTCATCAGGATGGTAAAATTGAGAGTTTAGAGTTTCAGGGAAATTAAGATGCTTGTATTTTAATTTGCAATAGAGACCCTGATACTATACTTTGAAGGCAGGCTCAGCATTTGATGTAAACCAAGAGAAACTAGGTATGCTTGTACATATGGAACCTACAAATATCACTTGATTATTGATCTGG